ACAGCAATCACCGCCGTCGCGATCACTGTCCACACAGTGAGGTGCCTTCCACGCCGGCCGGGGATTTATGGGGAACTGGCAATTATGACATATGCCCGGCTATTGCCGGCTTCAGATTTATCCCTGTGGCCCTCTTCTGCCTGGCGTATTGCCGGAGCACACCGGGCAGGAGGAGCACTCACTCTTGCTGGGCTTTAATAATCTGTGAATGGCTGCCCACAAACTGATGTAGGGCGCTATCATTCCACCAGCCTGGCGAAATTGCCGGCCACAAATAGTAATTAATCTTTTTATCCCTCAAATTGTAATTTTGACTATGAACTGTGCGCGGCCATAAATCAGCCGCGCGCGCTGTGTACAGTGCATGAATCACGGCCGGGACTCCGGCCGGCTGCACGGGCCGTGTTTAACAAGCTTTATAAGGAGCCATTGGGCTTTATTATGGCTCTGCCCGACTCCAACAAAAGCGGAGCCTGCAGGCCCGTGGACGCGGGTGAAGATGGAAATACTTATTAGAGTACATTACTTCTCGATGCAGATACACTTTTCCGTGGAGTCACGCCACGGTGCACGGCGAGACATAAATCAGGGAGTTTTCTGAGACTAATAAGACCTGCCGCCGTCCTCGCCTTGCGCGGCCTGCCGCTGGGGCCGTCGCTCATTAGTCAGCGCGTAATTTGATGATTAACACCGCCCCGCTCGGCGGGTCTGCCGGCCCGCTGCACAGAGGCTCGGGCGGGAGGACGAAGGTGAGCGGCCGCCTTCGAAAGAGCTTCCCGAAATAATTGGTCGCCGTCATCCCTGGCGCTCGGGCGGCCGGCGGGTGCCCACACCCACGGCGGCGCCGGAAGACGCCGCGTGCACTCGGTAATGGGCCGAAAGTCGAGGACCGCGATATGATTTGACATTCCATCATCCATCCCGGAGACAAAGGTCCGCGCAGGAATGTGAAGTAAGACATTTTCTTGTTAATAAAGCATTGATCCGGCGTATTGATTTTACATGACATGGCTTCGGCTGCGATCTCGCCCTCCTTTTTCTTTGCAAATACTAAAGCTCTTCCCAACGCCTTGGCGTATGTGACATGGTACAATTTCTAACGCTCTGTGATGTAAATTCTCTATGTGTAAAACCACTTCATAATCAAACCATTAATCATCAGAAGCTGTCAGCGCTGACTCGGGGGACAATTTGTCATGTCTCTGCCTGGGCCGGGACAAGGGTGTCAGGCCCGAGTGCGGCGCGGGCAGCGGGGCAGATGGGCCTCCCCCAGCAACGGGGTCCAAGAAGGACGAGATAAAGTATTATGTTCCCCGACTAGGGAACAAAAACGGCGGCCCACTGTGCGTCTCGACGCGTCAGGGTCTCTCCTCTCTCCCAGCTAATCACCGTGACTGTTTGACTTAATGAATCGGCCTGATGAAAGGTAGTCAGCAAGATAGATGGGCGGCCGCTATTGATTTCATGCAAACGCCCCTGACAGGTGATCGGCGTGTTAATGCGAGCTCTCAGAAGCTTTATGACTTGTAATAGCCACACACTCTCATTCTGGGAGAGACATTTTCCAGTGTTTCAGTTCAACCGATACTCTGCTCCCAGGACCAGAAATACATGAGGGCAGTGTGGCTGGGAGGCCACCTCTCACCTCCTGCTGTGGCCCGAGGACTGCTTACATCCTGAACACACCGCCCAGAGCTGGCCAGCGGGCGGGCGAGCGTAGGGGGGTGCTGCTCGGGAGATGACGTCGTTGAGCCCAGGAGGTCTCCACCATGCCGGGTGGGGGCGGGGAGGCTGCTGGAGCAGCTTGACATTCTACTGGGGGCTTGGCTACCGGAAGCCCAGGAATGTACATGCAAGCGTTAGAAACAACTGCCCTGGTCTTAAAGCCACAGCTGGGACCCGTGTTCCCCGCTCGGAGCGGGTTTTGCTCACTACGGGCAGGGGGGCTCCCTTTGCCCCTGTGCCTTCCAGGGCAGCCGCCCTCAGCAGAGCCCGGGGACCACCTTCTGAGGGCCCCCCACCCTGGAGGATGCGGACTGGCAGAGGCTTGGCTGGCGGATTCTACAACGGGCGGAGAGAAGCAGCCTCAGAGCCCTGGTGCATCTTGTAAATCCTCCATGCGTCGAGTGCACCAGGCAAGGCCCGGCCGGCCAGGGCCAGGCTCCAGCACGTCCAGTCACCGAGCACCGAGCCAGGCCAATCAATACCACTTTCCTGTTTTAGAACTGGGTAATTATGAGGGGGAGAGATTGCCTGACCTTTCACCCGCACTGCATTACTTTGCTGATATTAAGATAAATTGCCTGATTTTGGGTAAACATATGCTGCAATTCAGACTGTCAGCACTGGTTTGCTCAGGGATAATTTGTATTGATCTCCCCGCTTCTTCCCAATTCTGCTTACTGACCTCGTGGATAATTAGAGAAGGGGCCCTGGGTGAGCGCAGGGCGGGGACAAGGGAGAAACAGGAAGGAGAATAAAGAGAATTTGTTTTATGTTAATATTCGGAGGTCCTCGAGCCACTCCCGCGGCCGTCCGCGTCAGGAAAGCCGTCAATTAATATGCTCGGTTCCTGGGCCATTTATTCCGGGGGGTCATTGAGCAGCTTAGTCTCTGCGCGTGTGTCACTGGGCTAAACAGATCTAAACCCTGCCTTAAACACAACAAGAACAAATGTTATTTTTCTGCGGGAGGAGGAAGAAAACAACAGCAGCAAGACATTTCTCAACATGTATGATCAGCGTTCGACTTTCGCCAAGGATGAGTTTTACAACACGCCGCCCCTCCCACCCCGCCCAGCCCAGAGTAATCAGCGCCCAGAGTTTGCTCTGAATTCAAGTCTCGAGAAGAGGAGCCACTGGGTACAGAAGAGATGAATCTGCGCCCAAAACTGTATCGTTTAAGATGTGTCAGATGATAAGGCTGTTGTATCAAAAGTCATAAAACAACGCTCCCCTGTGAAATATCTCTTTATTAGCCGTGCCATAAGATATTAACATTCCTCATTTGGTGGAGGGCCTTTTATCTGTTTCAAATACATTATTCGTCCTTTTAGAGATAAACTGTATTAATATCCATTTGAGTGGGCTACCGCGGCCTAATGCATAGTAATTTCTGTTGGAGAGCTTTTATTTTAGAACGAGGAAATTACACAGCGATAAAACCTGAATGAATCAGAAGCTCCGAGAGCCGGGAATCACAGCCCGTTCCAAATGGGGCAGGCAACCGGCGGCCTGCGGAAGGCCAGGGGCCGCCGTCGCCTGCCAGCCAGCACCCAGTGCGGGTCCCACTGACACAGCCATGGACCCTGTGGTTCCTGGACGCCCCACACGCCTGCAGGAAGGGGACACCTCTCCACACGTTCGAGTGTCCCGGAGTCCACCACACCACTCTGCATGCGTTAAAGAAGCAGTGTTCCAAATATGGAAGCCAGGCCCATGTGCTGGGGGATTAATCATACCGCAATTGATAAAATTTTAACGGTCCGTGATGTCAGTTCGGGTTGGGACCGCCGCCACAGCTAATGTGGCGGCGGAAGCAGCGCCCGCCCCCACGCAGCAGCTGCGGCCAGCGGCCTGCTGCTCAGAGAGACACGCCGGCGGCCCGGACTCCAGAATGCTGTTTCCGGTGACATTATAGTTTTAGTTTTCGTTTTGATGGCTTAACCTTCCCTGTCAGCCGGCCCTGCCCTGCAGTCCGAGTTAATCTCATACTCCACAATGTGTATAATTGTTTTATTAGACTCGAATAGCAAGTCCATGAACACAGGGACCTAATGCAATTAAGCCAGGGGACATGTTCGGAACCTCCGGGTTGCTCACACAGAAACGAGATTTCAGACTGGAAAGCGCGTGTTTGGGGCCGGCGGGTGTTTTCTACAAGGAACCGCTTTCCGGGCCGGGAAATGGCCACAAGAATCGCCTTAAACCCAGTCCACTCACTGGCATTTGTTAAGCAGCTACTGCGTGTTTGGTCTCCCTCATGGGAAACCCGCCCCCCAGGGCATCAGGGCATCCGGGAGCGGCAGCCCCCAGCCCAGTACCCTGTTTCGATGGGCTTCACCCACCCAGGGCGCTAGGTCGCCCGTCCCCAACCTGGGTCCCGGGGGCGCCTTTCCAGAATGGGGCCTGGACTAGGGCAGGAAGGAGGGGTCATGGTGGCCAGCTGAATTGAGATGGCCACCTCCGACCACCCCCTGCCGGGTGACCTGCTGAGCAGCCCACCTGCAAGCAGGGCCACCGGCCCTGAGACCACCAGTGCGGCTGCCCCCTCCGCCACAGCTGTGTCCTTGCAGCAGCGTCGGGAGACACACAACAAGGGGGGGCACCGGCAGGTGGGAGCCACGCTCCCGGCGTGGCCCTGCCCTGGTCCGAGCCGCAGCCCCGCCCAGCAGAGAGCTCCGAGGAGACGTTCTCAGCTCAGCCCAGATTCCCCTTCTGCCCGAAAGCCTGACTCCCACAATCAAAACAGGAAGACATTCATTTGCTGCGTCCCAGCTGCTGGTCGCCGCCGCTAGAACCAGTTCCCGTTTCATTTCAGTAATGATCATCTTCCTGCAACTTCCCAATCACGCATTTGTCATGAGGCAGTCATTTTCTAGCTACAAACAGACCCTCCTAACGAGGCCGTTTTTCACATTAGCGGCATAACTACATAATCGGAACATCTGCAGGTCCTTTTCCCAGGGACGAGGATGTGCGTCGATCTCGGCGA